ATTCTTGATTTACTTTATTCTAGCCTTAATATTCTTAAACATCATCTCTTTTACTTTTCCCTTGTTCTTTTTTGAATTACTTCATTCTAGTCTTAATACGCTTAAACACGATCTCATTCGATTCTTTGTTGTTCTTTCTCGATTTAATTAATTCTAGCCTTAATATTTTCAAACATTATCTCTTTCGCTTTTCTCTTGTTCTTTCGTTATTTACTTCATTCTAGTCTTCATATAGTAGAACAAGATTTTTTTAGGTTGTTTCTGTTGTTCTTTATATGAACTCGTTCGCATCTTTCTCTTGTTATGTCGTGACTTACTTTTGCCCGAAGACAATCTTCCGTGGTCACATGGCCAGTGCGACTTAGACACAGAGAGTTGTTACCTTCCCACCGAGGTGGTCCCTATTTATCTACTCGCAATTGCATGCTTCCGAACCGCTCACTCCGTCGCGTGGATTCGATCTTAGGACTGCTTGATCTTCTGACCCTGCAGCACAGGCTTCTGCGCTTTAGCCCTTAATACACTGAAACATGATATCTTTCGCTTGTTTCTGTTCCTTCATGATTTATTTCATTCCAGCCTTAATAATCTGAAACGTGCTCTTTTGCTTCGTCCTATTATTTTTTCTTGACTTTATTCTAAAATTAATACATAGAAACATTATCTTTTTCGCTTCTCTTTCTTCAGAAAGAAAACCTAAAGATTACTAGAATGGTATGTCAAGAAAGAACAACAGAAACCACCTAAAGAAACTTATTCTAGTTATTTTGGATAGAATGAAATAAAAAGTACAGAATCAACCTAAAGAAAGTATGTTCTACTCTACAACAGAAAGAAGGGAAATATCATTATTATTATTATCATGTATTGGGTAGAAAAGGGCCAGAATTAAATAAATCATGGAAGAACAAGAGAATGAAGCGACCGAGACCATGATTAACTGTATTAATGCTAGTATGAAGCAAGTCAAGAAAGATCAGAAAGTTGTTTCAGTGTTTTGGCTAGAATGAAGTCAATCAATAAAGAACAGTAGAAAAAGAAATCTTGTAGTAAGGCTAGAATGAAATAAATGAAGAAAGAACAGCAGAAAGAGGCCAAATATATCAAAAGAGATCATGTTTCAGTGTATTAAGGCGAGAGTGAAGTAAATCAAGAAAAGAAGGAAGCGAAAGGGATCATGTTTCAGTGTATTAAGGCTAGAATGAAATATAAAACAAGGGAAAAGTGTTCATGTTTAAGTAAGGTAATTGAAGAAAATCAGTAAGAAACAAGGGAAACGAATTGTTCTATTGTTAGAATGAAGTCAATGAAGAAAAAACAAAAAAGCGAAATACGTTTCAGTTTATTATGGCTAGAATGAAGGGGAAAGGAAAGAACAAGACTAAAATTTATGTATTGAGGCTAGAAAGAAATCAGTAAAAAACAACAGAAAACTAAGAAATGTTGTAAAGACTAGAATGAAGTAAATGAACAATAGAAAAAAATCGAAAATCATTTTTAGTGTAAAGGCTAGAATCAACTAAGAAAGAACAATAGCAGGAAGAGAAAGAGATCATGAGTTTATGTTTAAGGTCTAAAGAAAAATCAATTAACAGGAACAAAAATCAGAGGGGATCGTAGATAGTAAAAAAAGGAAACAATCAGATGTAATCAGCAAGGGAAAAAAAATGAACGCTGAGGAAAAAAGCCATAAAATCGCTGTTTTGCTTTTTAACGGCTTCTACAATTTATTTAAATGTTAAAGGACAGGAGTACATCTTAGGTTAATTTCATTAATTAGAGTGGAATTCTATGGCATATCTGTGCTGGACGATACTGATTGATGTTATTTGTTGTCTGATGCTATTTGTTACCACTGGATAGTAATGGGATGAGAGCAGATTCGGCAGAATCCAGGGTGCGAGACAGCATCAAAAAGGCTACTTGGATTTGTGATTTGACATTTGGCTGATGAAACGAGCAGTGGGTTTTGGAAGGAGGTTGCAACAGACTATAATTTGCAGTCTCAGAACGATGTGGGGAGGATGGTAAGACACTGGGCATAAGGATACATATACTGGTGCTGTGGCTGCTGGGGATAGATTCACAAGCGCTTAGCTGCAAATCTGTTTTTTAGGTTTTCCACAAAAGAACTGATGACATTTTGGACGAGACCTTCACCATCAAAGGGAAGGTCCTTGATGTGGGTTTGTGCATCTGTTGCTACAGCGTGCTGCATAGTGACATGGCGTGCCATGTCACTATGCTGCTACTCTCTGAGCCTCGTAGTAGGGTAAACCTAAACAGGGCTAGATCTTGCTACGTAGGTAACTGTGTTGACTCCCATGGCTCCCTGACAGTTGGAAATTTGAACACTCAAACTTGCAGCCTTGAGTTATGGGATAGGTGGCCTTAGTTCAGCATTAAAATGTTGCAGAAATTCTAGTGTGTTGAGAGTTGGGGGTCTTTTCCCAGACTCTTCCCTTGGCAACACCCATGAGACAGGGCATGGTGGCGTTCCGCTAGAGCTGATGAATCCTGATCACTCTGCTTATAATAGGAGTCTGAATACTGGGGGAGCCGGTTTCTGGGCCTGAAGTGCCTGAGACTTGGCAATGTCGAGGATCAAGTTTGGGTAAGATTGGAGATCCAGAGAAGAAGTTTCAGTCCCCAGGGAGGAGGGAACTGAGGTGACAGCAGTGTTGTGGGATGGTGATTTCTGTGCATGAGGTGGCAGCGACAGAGATTGATGCACCGCATCATGTAGAGCACCGCATTTGTATGAGCAGGACAGGTATTCACAGTTGAAGCCTGAGGAAAACTCGGGTCACTGTGGAGCCGCTGACTAAGAACCAAAGATGCAACACCATCTGGGAGGTGGCCCATGGTGGGACATGGTGTGCTTACCCAGATAATGCGGGTGGTATGTTTTGACACCAGGGTCAAGCCATCTTGGTCTCAATGCACATAAGGGTTTATAGGGCTGGTGCTGGAAGGTTGTCTGGCAAGCTTTGTTGGTGGCATGTCTTGAAGAGTTCTGACCGGAGGTTGGTGAAGCAATTTGTCACAGAGGAGATGGTGGAGAAAGTGAAGAAGTGGGAGATGTGTAGGGTTGGATTTAAGGAGGTTGAATGTCTTGGGCCTGATTGAAAACTGGAGAAGGTGGGTGACGTTACAACAGCCACATGCTCCTCCAACAGAATGATGGAGTCGACAGGTGGACCAGGTGGGTGTGTCGTGCTGATGTGTCTGAAGTAATGGCAAACAGTCTTAAACAGCATCAGCAAGCAATCCTTTGAACTTTTCCTCCCTTTGGAACAAATCCCGTCTTCCTTGTGTTGCCCCTTGTACTCGTTAGGCATAAGGGGTAAAACAGCTGCGTGCTTTCGTAAATTCAGCCCAAAGAACTCTTGTCTATACTAGCAGGAAATGCAGTCTGTGCCGTAGGCAACTAAGATCTATTTGCCCTTCTAATGCCTGTTCATGGACTCCTGTGTACGCTTGCTTGCTTTGCCTGTTTTACTAAATGGTGCTGTGGAGATGGGGGGGGGAGAGAGAAAGAGAAGAAAGAGGAAGAAAAAGTCACTGGGCGTTTAAGGTTGTGGTGACATCTTTGATGTGCAAAGGGAGGCCCACCCGCTTTGGGGTCGCCAGGAGACAAATGGGAGAGAGTTGAGGAAAGATGAGGAGGTCCCCCCTCCCCTGATTCCTACCCTTGGGTGAGTGCCCACATTGGCGAGCGGAGCGGGGTGGAGAGGGTGGTGGACGCGCAGGGTCGGACACGGGAGCCCTTCTGCAGCGCCTCCTGCCCGGGGGTGGCATCAGGCGGGGGGTTCTTGAGGAAGCAGCTTGGCCAGCTGCACACAGAAACCATCGGGCACCCGGGCACACACATGTACTTGCCCTTTCTCCTGGCACCCATCTAGAATGTGCTGCTCTTTCTCATCTGACCCCACTACTTCAAGATTACGACACAGTCACCATTTACTGCCACATCTGCCACCAGACTAGCTCAGATCTGTCCAGCCACCAGATTAGCTCAGGAAGAACCAAAAGTACTGCACATGGAAGACCAGCCAGATGTCTTTGGGAGGGCCTCTTGGAGGCCAGAGTCCCCACTGAGTTGCTGAGTTTACAACCACCTGGGGAGTTAGTCTGGAAGGTCCCATTCTTAGGAGCCCTGTCCAGGTCTCACTGGTTTTAGGAGTCGGTCCGTTTCAGGCTGCCTTCCTCTTCTCCTGCTGCCTTCCACTCTTCCCAGTAGGCTTTTCTGGTGGGCAATTTATATACATCAGATTAGTCTAGTTTTAATCACTGTGTGCACTCCTTGCTCTAAACCAAGAAAAAGAGTGTTTCACCTTTATTTGATCAGGGTCATTGAGCATTCTTGCAATTCCCAGATGTTTTGTGCTTCGGGAACGTGCTTCAGGAACACACGTGCATAACATGGGTCTTCGTTTTTCTCCAGTTTTCCAACTGCACATTGCATCAGTGTCCACACACAAACTCTTTTTTCCTAACTGCACATTTTATATTCAACTTGCAAAGCTTAACAGACCCAAACAAAAACACAGCCTAGTTTAACTCCATTCATTTGGGAGCATTTCAAGGGGTACAGAGGGAAAAGCTTTCCCATTGCTCCCATTTCCTGTTTCACACAGATTGTGGCTGGTTGGTAAGAAAGTCACTGGGCGTTTAAGGTTGTGGTGACATCTTTGATGTGCAAGTTTTTCATTGAAGCATGCTGCAAGTGATGTGAGAACCTCTGGGCATAAAATATAGAATACCATGAATGCTAATTATACAGTACAGGCTTATTTATTTATATAGAGGCTCGTAACATTGTACAGGACGCAGCAACAAAAACCATCCCAAAGAGAAGGAAATGCATTTGTGTGTATTGCAACTTCTGGCACAGCAGCCAGACATTCACTGAAGTTCCCTGTCTAAATCTGGATTAAAACAGACCTAAATGGATAGAGACAAACATGATTGCCAAAAATGCCACTGTGAAAAACCAGTTTTACACAAATAAAGTTTTATTACAAATCAAGAAGTACACCATCAATGAATTATTTAGACCTTTTGTTTTTTTATTTTTACATTGGCTTGATTATATGTTATAATCTTTTAAACTTTTTCCAAAGAGCGTTTTATAGACCTAATAAAACTGCACTTTTAAAACAAATCCTAGTTGTGCAAGATCAATGTTCAAAATCAAATAATTCAGTGTATTAGTGCTTACAACCCTGAATATATAAGCTCAAGGAACCCCATTTTACTTTAGAAATAGCAGATCAGATACAGTTATCAACATGGAAAATGAATGTTCAGCCCATTCGGATATGACAGTTACTGCAAATTCACCTCCCCAACCCAAACCAAAAGGAAAAGTTACCTTTTCGAAATTGTTGCCAATAAATACTAAACTAATTTATGGTTCCACACATATTGGAGTATTCTGTATTGCACAGGAAAACTGAGCATATAGTCTAGAATAAGACATTTGGGGAAAAATTAAGTTTCCTCTTAAAGCAACACACTTTAATGAAGAGGAAATACTTCTTTATATTAGTATGAATATATACAAAAGCTGTAAATAGAGTTGCATATACAAATAAAAAGGGGGAAGTTGTCTGCATGAGGCAGAGCTGTATTCTTCTTAGCACCTTTGGTTTCTTTCCTTCTGGATTTAGGGCAAGTATCTCATCAGTGCATCACATTCATATATGACAACGTCTATTAAAATACTGATTTCCCCTTCAGCAAGTAAAGGACCAAAAAAGCAGGGAGTCTGGTTAGGAAATTTCCTGTAAGGTACGCAATGGTTTCCGTATCAGGCAATGATGAGGTACATAGAATACATGCCTAAGCTTCACTGTCATTAACAGAATAGCACCATATTGTGATATTAGGTACACCTGAAAAGTCATTATGTTCTCCTCATACAGACTTGGCAACGGCTAACATTTGAGTGTAGTTCTCCTGCTTTCAGTGTTGAAGGAGTAGGTTTTCTGAAAATTAGAAATATAAACAAAAAACAGCTGTCAGTCAAGATAAATTTGAAAACCTAGTATAACTGTAGCTTTGGCCCCTGCATTTTAAAAGGCAGAATTTAAATATTAAATTCAAGCAGGTACTAAATTGAAGAATTACTTTCGTGAAGTTTCTTTCCACATAGATCTGATTTCCAAAGGCATCATCTTCATCCTCATATAAATACTGTAACTTACTAGGTTTAGAATGATCATACAGTGGCCATTTAATTCTATTAATATGAAATGGGACCTACCTTAAATGTACAATGAAGAAAATTGAGAGAAAAAGGATTAATGCATGCATGTAAGCAAGGGCCAAATTCAGCTTCAGGTAATTGTTCATAAGTTGTATTTCAGTAATGGGCAAAAGCAAAAGGGTTAAGTATATATAACCTGGCCCTCACCAACTGGAAGGCCTGTCAGAGAAGAAGCTGGTTCTCAACCCACAAGAATGCTGAAGGATCCTCATTAAAAAAGGTTTGTACAGGAGTATCAGATGATCTCTGGATTGGATTCCAGCAGCTGTTACCTAAAGGTCATCTTGGAATTTTGAATTTGTCATAGACATCCCTTTTGGTCGCAAATCTTGCCATCTGTGTATCCTGGCCTGTGCTATTCTCAATCTAGTTCAACAGCACTTTTGTGCTCTTCCTTTTTGTTTACATCAATAATGCCAAGACTTGTCCTTTGGGTTTTGAATTCCTGCAGCTGTTTTAACACTCTCCAGTTGTGTTTGTCTGTTCATCCAATTCTGGACTTTCCTGTTGATTCTGCTTATTGTTACTGTAAATACTCTTACATCTGCCATGACTGTATCCCTGGAACCAGTGCACCTGAGGGCAGCAAAGGGTCTACCTTCCTGAGCTAATGAAATGCAACACTAAGAGGACACTGACAGACTGTAACAAGTCTAAAGACTTGGACTCAATAAAACATCAGGATGCCATGGCCAGCCCCCAAGTTCAAGACATGAAGTTGGTGCAAGGAAAATGTTAGTAGTACGGGCTTAAATGAAAATAGGTTTACTGCAATTTAAATGTGGTGGGACTAGGGCAAAGATAAAGAAAACAGAACGCAAATGAATTTAAAAAAATGGAAAACAAGTTTATTTCAACATATTAAGTTTAGTAGTTAAACTTTTAAATCTCTTTTTGTCAAATTTTACTTTGCATTCTTGAATGTAGGTATGATACTCCTTACTTACTTGAACATTTCATTTCTCTCAATAGTTGCAAGCCAGAAGCTGTAAGCATTAGCATAGTAGTTGCAGGTGCCCTTGCCATGACACTCAATGAATGGAGCACTGCGGAATTCTTCAAGACAGGATCCCGGAGATGCTAGAGCTTGCCCTGAACCCTCTGCTCCAGCACTTGTATGCTGTCAATAAATATAGGTTGTATATTAGTTTATAAAGATTATTAGATACAATTTCACTACACATTCATTGTCTACCAACAGTCCGGTTGGGCTGATGATTCCTAAAGACAGAACAGTTCCTCAAAAATAGTGATGTATTAATATATCTATGAAATTTAAATTATGGATATAAAATATACAAATATCCATTTTCATACACCGGAGTATTTAGGGATATGCTTCTTACCAATCACAGCAAAATCCTAGGTGCTGGCAGCAGTAAGGCCATATGTTCCAAAGTCTTGCTTCTTAGAATATTCTTTTCAAATAATCCTTCAATAATGCTTTTTCAGATGACACTAATTCTAGTGTATTTAAATGTGAAACTTTTTTAAAAATCTTAACCTAGATGCAATTTTTTAAAGAAGTATTTCTAGATAAAATAAATTATTTCTAAAATGTTGGGTTTATATGAATTAAATTGAAAATACAGCAGCTGAGCAAGATTTCATCCAGGGATGAAAAAGTTACTTAACTGTAACTCTGGTTCTTCAAGCAGTCATCTGTGAATTCAGACAAATGGGTGCACCTGTGCAGAGAAACCTCAAAATATTCCAGAGCTCAAGCAAATGGTGCCAGGACCTGCCTCAGTTCCGTAAAAAAGTCCGCTGCTGCCCAGCATTCAAAAGGCATATGTGATGGACAGAGGGGCAGATGTGAATTGTGGGGCGGATGTGAAGTGTGAATTCACAGATGACCACTCAAAGAACCAGAGTTACAGTTAAGTAACCTCTCTTTCTTTTTCATTGTCTCTGTGAATGGACATCAACGGGTGAGTAGCAAGCTGACTTACCAGGTGGGCCGTCATGACAATGCAGAAGCCAGGATAGCACGACGCACAGTGGCTTCAGCCTTGGCCTGAACATCTAGTTGATGATGGGTCACAAAGGTAGATGGCGTAGCCCACATGGCTGCCTCGCAGATGTCAAAGAGGTCCACTCCTCTGAAGAACAACCGTGAAGGAAGCCACAGCCCTGGTCGAATGGACCTTCATGGTATGTGGCAGAGGCATCTGGGCCAGCTCATACGGCACTCAGTCGAAACAATCCACCTAGAGATCATCTGGAATATGACCGGTGCTCCCCTCAAATGACCTTGATAGCTGACAAACAGCCTATTTGAAGTGTGAAAGGATGAGGAGTGAGAGACGTAGTAGTAGTGCCTGCTTTGACATCCAAGGAATGTAAAGACTGTTCAAGACGTGGAGTTGGTGCAAGAAAAATGTTAGTAGTACAATAGGTTGGCGTAAATGAAAATAGGTGGCCACCTTGTCTGGGTGGAACTGAAGGAAAGGATGGTCTACTGTAAGAGCAGCCAGCTCTCCTGACCAATGTGCAGAGATTATGGCAAGGAGGAAGGCAGTCTTCAAAGTGAGCAGCTGTTCAGATGCTGTAGCCAGCGGTTCAAAAGTAGTCATCATTAGGCAATTAAGCATGAGCTGAAGGGACCACTGTGGGGTAATTTTGTAAGCCGGACCCATGTTTTTCCAGGCACGTAAGAACTGCTTGAGTATGGGATGGCAGAACAAATCTGCTGTTTTGAATAGTGCTGCTAATGAGCCACTATTGCCACCATATAAACTTTCAGTGTGGAATGAGAAAGGCCATGTTGGAAAAGATGCAGGAGGAACTGGAGGACTGCATCAAGAGGTTGGCTGTACAGGTAAGTGGTGTGAGGATGCAAACATACAAAACACTCCATTTGTACAGTGTTGTAGAGCATTTCCGTGCATGGCTTAAGACGCTGGCTATAGTGGGGTAGCCTCCACGCCGTTAGGTGAAGGGAGTCCAGTTCCGGATGGAATGTCCTGCCGTGATGCAAGGTAAGTGAGGAATTGCCAGGTGTCAGAGATGCTCTGCTGCCCCCTGATGCAGGGCAGAGAACCATGGTTGGCGGGGCCACCAAGGGGCGATGAGGATGGTGTCCGAGTTGTCCTGGCGGACCTTAATGGGTTTCTGAATGTGGAATTGGTGGAAACATGTACAGCAGGCCGGTGGACAAGCCAGTCATTAAAATGTCTCCCTGGGAACGATGGTTGATCCCTGCACAAGAGCAGTAATGACTGAACTTCTTGTCTGCAGAAACAAACACATCCACTCGTGGTCTGCCCCAACAGTGGCAGAGATGAATGATCTTGTTGTCAAGAGCCCACTCGTGGCTGCAAGACTGGAGCCTGCTAAGATGGTCGGCTAGGGTATTCCCCATGACATTACATGAACTGCTACAGGGTAAATGTGGTGGGCATAATAACATCATTCCCACAGCTGAATGGTCAGAAAGAGGAGAAGGGAATGAGTGCCTCCCTGTTTGTTGATATAGAAGACAGCCATTTGTGTTTTCTGAAGCCACCTGAACCATCCGGCCTGCAATTAGCCATTTGAATGCAAGCAGCTTCAAGTCTGTCAAGCCTTGCTTGCAGACCATAGACTGTATATACAGTCAAGTCTCCCAAGTGAGACTTGACTGCCAGTCAGGTAAGGTGCACCATCGGAGCCAGAGGGCCGAATGACCTTCCCACCAGGAGGTTTGACTGAGAAGTTACCACTACTGTAGGGAATTCATTTTCAGGCAGGCATGCTGGACTACAGCTATGGTAGATGCCATAAGACCCAACAGACATTGAGTCTGGTGGGCCGATACCATAGCTCCTGGGAGAAAAGACTTCAACATGAGCTGGTTATTTGCTATCATGTCCTCTGGCAGGTATGCTCCACCTAGGGAAGAGTTGAGCACCATTCCGATGTAAGACACCCGTTAGTAGGTTGTAGGGTGGACTTCTCCAGATTGACTTGGAGACCTAGGGCCAATAAAAGAGTCAATGCCATGTCTCACTTGGCCTGGGTTGAAGATGGCACCACCAGCAACCAATTGTCCAGGTAAACGGAGGTGTGCTGCCACTGGGGCTAAACACTATGTGAACAGTCAAGGAGCGGTTGACAACCCGAAGGAGAGGGCCTTCTATTTGTAGGTCACTCATTTGATAATTTGAGAAAAAGATGATCCGGCCAGATGCTGATGTGAAAGTAGGGGTCTATGACCGTGAACCAATCATTCTGCCTGAGCATTTGGATGGAATCCTCAAGGGAGATCATACGGAATCGGTGAGGAGTGATATATAAGAGTTGAGGTGACAGAGGTCTAAGATGGGGCATAGACCACCGTCCTTCTTTGAGATCGTGAAGTACCGGGAATAGAAGCTGTGTTACATTTGGGTTGTGAACCTATATGATGGCATCCTTCTGAAGTAGAGCAATCCTGTCATGGAAAGAGCATAGAACTTGATGGCATAGCGCCTGAGTATGATGGTGAGGACTCAGGAGTCTGAAGTGGTGCTCTGCCAGATGTTGAAGAAGGGGGTGAGGCGAATAGAAGGGTTGGCAGTTGCTGGTGGATGGGGCACATCAAAGGTTCTGTCTGGTCTTGAGGTCCAGGCAATGAGGTCTGCCTGCATGTTGGTGAAGGGTGCTGGAGGGAATCCTGAGGCCTGAGGTCTCTGTCGGTCTTAAGGCCTAAAAGGATAGGTACGGTGCCAGGCACTCCAAGGATGGTACTGCTGTGAGGAGTACGAACTAGCCATCTTCCTCAGCAGCAAGTTGTCTAGGATTTCATCTTTGTCAAACAGACCTACACCACCAAACAGAACGTCCACAATTTTTGACCTCACATTCTCAGAAATATCCACAGACCATAGCCAGGCATGGCATCGCAAAGTAACTGCCGTGGCAACCTATTTGGAGGCAGCATCGACAATGTATCATGCTGCTATGTGCTCTTGCCGTGCTAGGCCCATCACTTCTCGGTGGCATGAGAGGCCAAAGGCCTGGACCTCCTCTGGAGCAGCCTCAAGGGCAGGCAAAGCCCTATTCCATAGGTGCGAGTGGTATGCACCCATGGCAACAGTATAATTGGCCACCCTCAGCACAAAGGAAGCCAAAGAGTAAACTCGACAGCCGATAACATTGAGCTTTCTACCCTCCGTTTTATTTGGGCTCGTCGTAGAGTGGTTTCTGGCTGTTTTGCGTGGCATCGACAACAAAGGAGGCAACGGATGCTTTGTTAGAAAGTCCATGTTGTCTCCGTCAGCTTTATACAGCATCTCCACCCTTCTGGGGATGTGAGAACCCATAACTCTCTTCAGCAAGGATGAAGTGAATGTGAGGTAAAGGGGAGGGCTTTGATCTTGTGTAATGTCCTCATATACTTTGTCTATCTCCTCCAACACAGGCTGACTGACAAGTCCATCACCTTTGCAATTCTCAATATCAGCTGAGAATACAAAGTATAGTCCTCGGATGCACAGGGAGGATGATTCTCTGCCAAATCCGAATCCGGGGTGGGAATATTTAGTGGTGACTCCTTCTGCCCATAGATCTCAGAGGTCTCTGAGTCAGTATCGCGGTTGAGAGGGATGTGATCTGGGGAGGGTGAGAGATCACCATACAACGGTGCCAGACAATAGCTTTCAGCCTCAACATGGCCAACTTTCCTCCCTTTGCCCTCATACCTAGCAGCCAAGCGATAAGCTCCTTGTGGCATCAATAGTGGGTGGCGTAGCCTTTTCACCTCAGCAAAGCACCTCATTTGGTAAGATCGCAATGGCGGCCCTGGGTATAAATCCTCTTCAGGTTAGATAACACAGTGGCAAGGGTGAAGGAGAATATGGTTCGTATAATCCATATGTTAGCCAATATCTATAGTAGGCACAAGTCTACAATAGGTCTACAATAGAGGCGACTCAAACTCAGGCTCGACGAAAAGGGTGTTCATAGTACCACAACCTCGTAGCCTCATGATATCGATAGCTGTCATCAAGAGGCACAGGCAGATGCCAGGAAGTCTCAGGCTCAACAGGTGGCTCCAAATGTCAAGTCTTTTGTGTTCTCTTCCTAGGGGCCTCCAACAGGACCAACTCTGGTGGTGACATCGAGGCATATCAATAAAATGAGCCCAGATGAGACCGA